TTAACCTATTTCCCCTTTATTGAAAAAGAAAGTTACCATCACTAGGGTAACTGGGACTCTTGCCTGTAGCCTTTTCTGCCAGGCACAAAGTTGTGCCTGGGAGGACATCGGATTATAGAGGAGTTCCTCTACTTGCTGGAGGGCCCAGTCCCACTCTTGAGGGGAGACATCTAAGTAAGGGGCCACCATCACCTTTCCAGGACAGCCTGCTTCTCTGTCCCTCCACAGCCACACTTTCTGCTTGCTGTCACAGTCCCCGAAGAAAAAGAATGGTGATTAATGGACACACTCAGATGAAACCAACCCAGAAATTCTCAAGACTCTCTTTTCCTGCGTTTGGGCCATCAACTACGCACCTCTGATTGTGAAACTCCATCCCAGGGAAAGCCCCACTTGTGTCAAGCAGTACTCCATGCCACAGAAGCTCACTGGGAATTCAGCCACACATCCAGAGGCTTCAGAACTGCAAAATACTCATAGACTGGTTGAGTAAAAGCTTTCCCCACCCAAACAGAAAATTCTTCCAAGTTCAGTTCAACATTACTCCAGAAATTGAGACAGTTCAACATTACTCCCTATGTCCATAGGAAGTGACAATGGCCCAGTCTTTGTGGCAAAAATAATTCAAAACCTCACTAAACTGCTCCAAATAAAATTCATATTGGTTTCAGAGCTTTAAAAAGGTAAAACATAAACCAGACCTTGAAGGCAACCCTACCAAATTCTGCCATGAAACCAGAGCCCCACGGACTGACAACTTTCCTATGGCCCATCTTTGTGTTTGATGCTCACCTGGGCCCACTGAATTCGCCCCACAGATGTTAAAGTTGCAGAGATCCAGCCTTGGATACATCACACCTGAATCAAGAGAGCCCACCCTGCCCTCACTGAGGACTGGGAGGCAGCACCCAATTCAGACAACCCTTAAAGACACCCCCCCATCCCACCGCCGGCAAGCTCTGCTCCTGTCATACTTAGAAGCTGACAAGTCTGGGCACGGCCAAAGCCTGAGGATGCCAACCTTGGGGTGTTTTACGGCTGCCTCCCTTCTTCCTAGGTTTCTTTAAACCCTAACCTTGCTTTTTGCTGTAGGACCGCAGACTGGGAAAAACAGAAATGAATGTGTTTACTGCTGTACTTACTGGCAGTCTTGGGACTGGTTACTCTCGGCTGTTTCCAAGGGCAATAGGGAAACACCTAATCCTAAGGGAAGGACTAAGCTTATCATCTTGCTTTCCAGTCCTGAGCCTGAGGGCCTAAATCAGGCCTGTCAGACTTCAGCTTTGCTCTTTCCAGTATCCCCCTACCCCTGTCAGCCTCCTTGCTCAGTCAGGCCACCCAGCCCACATCAGCAGTTCATGTGCATCAGAGGACCGAGAGACAGTGGCCCTGATGCAGGTGACACTCCAGGATGGACATCCCCTAGAAACCTCACTGACTTAGCCCTGACTCAGTGCATGGATCTTACTACTCCACGTGGAGATGTCTGGTGGCTATTGTAACACATGGGAAGCAGGAGAGCAGCAGAGATCACTAGGCTTGTGTGAAGGCAATCTGGCATGGAACTTACTGTACCTGGGCACAAGCAGAGAGTGCAATATGACCATCTCCCCTGAACAAAGAGAAGTGTGTCTTACTGGGATGGAGAAAAGACAGGACATTAGGTGGGAAGATCCCAGTGAACATCTGTGGTCAAAAGTTTTCGGGCAATCTTGGATCTCAGTGGGTAGAGTCCTTTAAAGTGTTCGATATAAATTTTTGGGTGTCTCCAGATGTCCCCAGGACCTGCAGTAGTCCTTGTTCTGTCTTCAGGTGCTAGGCTGAGTTCCCTGAAGACCATAGTGCTTCTGCTGGCAAGGAGAAAGGGGGCTGGGAGAGTCAGGTCCAGTTGGAGACTTAGGTAACAAACGTCTGTACACAACCCTTCTCAATGTCTGGATTGCAACCTTTGCCCTAGTCCAATTGGTTATTCCTTTTACAACTGCTCAGAGGTTAGTCTCTCCTCCTGATCGTTCCCATGCATTCAGGAAATGCCACTCAATAAGTCAGCTCCAGGTTCCTTTGATCCTACTATCTGCACAGAGGCAGTCAGGGTCCCATGAGGGATCCCTATTAAACTTAAGTCAGAACCAGGTAGCTGAAGGATTTGAAAGTTCACTGTTCTGGTGGGTCACTGTCAGTAAAAGCATAGACTGGATAAACTGTATTTACTAGAATCAACAAAGGTTTATAAATTACACCCAGGATGCTGTTAAGAAAATAGCAGAACAACTTGGGCCCACCAACCAGGTGGCCTGCAAAAAATAGACTCACTCTGGATGATTCAGGTAGAAAAATGTGCTGTCTGTGTTAAGATAAAAACCTAGTGCTGCACTTTTATCCCAAACAACACTGCCCCTGATGGTACTATTACCAAAGCCCTCCAGGGCCTAATGATCCTGTCAGGAGAAGTAGCCAAAAATGCTGTACTTAATGACCCCTTCACCAGTTTACTGGAAAAATGGTTTGGCAAATAGAAGGGCTTAAAGGCTTCCATCTTTACTTCCCTGATCATAGTATTGGAATTCTCATTATTATGTATAATCCTCTGTGCACATAGTTTAATTCAGAGATTGAGACAGCACTCCAGAAAGAGAGACCCCAGGTTATTTCAAGTTTAATGTACTTAAGGTGCTTTAGAGGTCCTGACTTAGCCTCACAGGGTTTAGATAGAGTTCCTGAGTCTATCAAAAGTCCAGACACCTTTTAGTGGGGAGGTTGGAGTCAGTGAGTCCGTGTCATGTCAAACAGGGCAAAGGACCTAACAGGTCAAAGTTGGGGCGTTGAAAGGCTGTCCTGGATTACTGAGCCTAGGACAAATCTGGTTTTGTGCCCTAAGTAATTCTTCCAAGCAAGCTGCAGTTTCGTCATCTTCCTAATAGCTGAGTAGTCACTTCATTGTGGTCACCTTAACCATAGAATTATGTAAATATCCAGCATAGTTCTATTGTTACCTACCATTTCTTGGGTTCTTTAAGCCTGAGATATAAAAATAAACTCATTCTACCTTTTTAATGCTTAACATGCTGTTGCAAGATTTAAGAGACAGCAGAGACTGGATGGGAAAGAGGAGGGTTATATTTTTATATGTACCTCAGCTCTGCAGATAAATCCAAAATGTCAGTGTGTTGGGCAAAGGACAGGCTCCAGCTTTTACACATTTGGTAGAAGGGGTTGGTCTTTGGCATGGAACTTGTGGACAGGCAGGAGAACAGGGTGGTTTGTTAAGCTGCAACAGTGTGTATCTCAGTGGCCCTGCTCAGACATAACAGGATGTTAATGGGAGCAGGAGGTTATGAAGTCTCGTGTACAGGGACAATTACATCCTTATTGGATATTTGACATGATTAAGAAAGTATCATTTTAAATGTTTGCATATTAAAACAGCATTTTAAAGACTTTCTTTCAAATGTAGTTGTAGTTTCATATGCAGTTGAAAGAAGAGGTCTTTATAACCACAACCCATATCTTCCACTCTGCGCCTAATCCTGGAAACCTCTAATCTGCCTTTCATTTCTAAAGTTGTCATTTTTAAATGTTACAAATTAGGTCATAAATTACATTTTGGGGGAGGAGTGGCTCTTTTTTTCTTTCTGCATAATTCTAAAAGTCATCTAACTTTTTGTATCAGTAGTTCATGCCTTTGTGTAGAGTTCCATGATATGTATGTAGTGGTTTGTTTAACCAGCCGCCATCTGGGCTGATTTCCAGTTTGGGGCTTTAAAAAATGAAAAGCTGCCATGAATATTTGAAAAGAGGTCTTTGTATGAACGTAAGTGTTCATCTTTCTGGATAAATGGTATGAGTGTAATTACTGGGTCTTAGAGTAACTAGGTGTTTAGTTTTTAAAGAAACTGTCAAACTCCTTTCCAAAATGGGCATACCATTCTACCACGTAGAATGGTATACCATAAAAATAGGCATATGCCAACACTATATGAGTAATCCGGTTTTCTCTTCATCTTCACCAACATTTGATATTGTTACTATGGTTTTTAGCTGCTCTGACAGCTATGTTGTGATCTTTTTGTGGTTTTAATTAGCATTTCCTTAACGGCTAATGATACTGAACATCTTTCCATGTGCTTATATGCCGTCTCTGTTATTTGATGAAATCCCTCTGCATGTCTTCTGCCCATTTTCTAATTTGTTTTTTAACTGTTGAGTCTTGAGAGCTCTTTATTCTAAAGCAGTTTTGTATTTTATATGTAAGTCTGTGATTCATTTTGAGTTACTGTCTATATGAGTTTTAAAGCTTAGGTCAAGGTTCTTGTGGGGCCGCATATACTAATTGCTCTAATTGCACTGTTTGTTGAAAAAGCTGTTTTTACTCAGTTGAATTGTACCATTGTCAAAATCAGTTGAGCATATATGTAGAGTTCTATTTCTGGGATTTCTTTCAGTTCCTTTGATCTATATATTTCTCTGCTTCTTTGTCAGTAACACCACACTAGTTACTGTATGTCTTATATTGCATAGAAAGTTTTCTTCCACTTTATTCTTCTTTTTCAAGTTTTAGGTGTTTTAGGGCCTGTGGTTTTCCATATAAATTTTAGTATAAGCTTGTCTTTTCAATGGAAAATCTTTGTGGGATTTTAATGGGAATTTCACTGAATTCTCAACTGTTAAAAATACATACTAAAATATGGAAGAAATTAAATGACTTTTATGTAGGATTTGCTTCCCAATAATTTGGGTTTGGTGAGAGTAAATGGATGGAAACAAGATTTTGCCATGATGATGGAGACAGTACACAGAATGTTTTAGTGTTGTTAGACCTAAACTCGTAAAATGTCAACTGAAATTGTCTGTTGACAGAGTATGAATTTGATATTACCTACTTTTCCTTTTTGGAAGGTTTTACTTAGGTTTCTAGAAGAGAAAGCAATGGTTAATGGTTAGCCTGATGGTACCGGGTTTATCCACAGTAAATATAACTTGAGCTTTGTTTCATATCTTAGGCACAGCTGAGAAGGATCTAGAAAGTGCTAAGCTTGTACAGATTTTACACAGATTACTAGCAGATGAGAGAAGTGCTCCTGAAATCAAGTACAATTCCATGGTCCTGACTTGTGCTCTAATGGGATCTGGTAAGTGTATCTTCATCATCTAATGCCCATTAATATACCATTGATGTTAAATATTAAACATGTTGTAATACTAAACGTTGACTTAGCATTTTAAAAGCATTAAACAAGATAGCTAAAATAATTATACTTCTAATTTCTATTAGTTCATTGAAAGGAACAGTTAGTGCTTATGTTGTTTGGTGAGTTTTGCATGCCTCTATCTGGTAATCTGAGCAACTACTGGGAAGATAACAATATATAATATAATAACCATTGTTAATTTCCTTTTATCTTGTTTTGAAATTGTGTATCATTTTTTTGTCTTTAAAATAAAAATAAAATAAAATATTTAGAGTATTAGAAATTAACTTATGGAGATGAGATTACTTTTACACAACATATTAACAGAAGATTCTCAATACTAGAAATACCATAAAAATAGGCAAAAATCAAATTAATAATTACAAATTTCACTAACCCTAAAATGTTTTATATAAAGAACAAATTCTGATTTGGTATGGTATGATACCAACAGAGGAATTTGTTCAAGAAATCATTGGTATATATACTATACATGGACTTTATAAAAGACTGTATTTTACTGTTGCATAGAGTGCTCCCCTACAGTGCCAAATAGATCCTATTAGGAGTGGTGTCAAACTTCCTATATTTTTGCTGATTTTCTGACTATCAACTGTTGAGAAGAGAGGTATTATAGTCTCCAACTATAATTCTAAATTCGTGTTTTTCTCCTTGTTTAATTTTTGTTTTCTTTACATACTTTTCTACTCTGTTGTTAGGTGCATGCAACATTAGGATTGCTGTGCTTTCTCAGTAAATGAGCCCTCTGTAATACCCCTCTCTGTCTCTGCTAATTTTCCTTGCTCTAAAATCTTTTTTATCTGATACTAACAGATAAAAGAAACTTGTTACTTTCTTTTGAAGAGGATTTACATTCTTCTTCCATACTTTAGTATCAATCTGTTGAATATAGTTACAGTTGAAGTACCTCGTACACACTATACAGTTGACTCATGTTTTATAGTCCACTGTGCTGAGGGCTTTTATTTGATCTATTTAGACCATTTGCATTTAATGTAATGATTGATACGGTATGACTTAGGCTGCAATTTTGTTTTTTGTTTTCTGGTCTGTTCTTGTTTCTCTGTTTTCCTTTTATTTCTGTGGGTTACTTGACAGTTTTTAGCCCCTTTAGTCTCCCATATTTATAATTGTCTCAAATATGTCTTCTATATTTAAAACTCAATTAGAAATGTTATAATTTTTGTTAAATCTATCAAAATTCAAAATACTCTTTTTCAAAAGTTTACTGTATTTACCCACTTTTAAAATTTGTTTTATTTTTGTTCTTGTTTAAAATTGTTCCCTTCCTCTTTAGAGAATACTGTTTAGCCATTATTTTGGTTGGGTGTGCTAGCAACACATTCTCTTAGTTTTCCCTCATTTGAGAATGTCTTTCTTTGCTTCATTCCAGAAAAATACTTATCCTGAATAGGATTTTGGATTGACAGTTCTTTCCTTTCTGTTCTTCAGAAAATGTTGTGCCGTTTTTCTCTTTCCTCTTCTGGCATTCATGGTCTTTGATGAGAAATCCACTGTGTTCCTATTTGTTTTTTCCCTCTGAGGGTAGCGTACTTCTGTCTCTCAAGACTTTCATCTTCCTCATTAATTCTCACAATTTTGACTGTGATGTACCCTAGTATGGATTTTTTGGGGAATGGGAGTTATCCTGTGTGAAGTTTGCTCAGATTCTTGAATCTGTTGGTTTTGGGAGCTTCTAGCCATATTTCTTCAGGTGGTTTCTAGTCTGGTCCATTTCTCGTCTCATCCTAGGTCTCTGATGACACAAATGTGAGCACTCTGGCCATAGTCCTACAGGTCCTACAGGCTTTAGCCTTTTTTTTTCTCCCTAGTTTTCTTTTCCTCTGTTGTTCAGAGTATTTCTGTTCTGTCTTAAAGCTTACTGATTATTTCCTCTGTCCCTTCCATTCCAATATTGAACGAACTGAGTTTAATTCAGTTATTGTTCTAAAATAATTATTGTTTGAGTTCTAAGATTTCCACTTGTTTCTTTGTATCTTACGTTTCCTTGTGGAGATTTCCTAGTTTTTTTTTTAATTTGAGCATATTCATAGTTGTTGTTGAAGCATTTTTTAGTTGCAGTCAGAATACAGAAACTGTAACGCTACTGTTATAACCATTTTTAGGTGTACAGCAGTGGCAATAAATACAATCATGTTACTATGCAACTATCACTGCATACACACCAGACTATTTTCCAGTTTCCCAAACTGAAACTCTGTCTTTTGAGCTGTAATTTTTCATTTATCCCTCCCCGTACTTCTTGCAGCCACAGTTCTGTTTTCCATCTCTATGAATTTTGACTGTTCTGGGCACCTCACATAAGTGGAACGATAAGATATTTGTCCTTTTGTATTTGGTGTACTGCATGCAGCTTATATATTTAAGGCTCATCTAGTGTAGCACATGTCAGAATTTCATTTTTTAAGGCTCAGTGTTCCATTGTATGTGTTACCACATTTTGTTCATTCCTCCTCTGGTGGACATTTGGGTGGTTTCCACCTTTTGCCTTACTGATGAATAATGCTGTTGTGAACATTGGTATAAAAATAAAAATCCCTGCTTTCAGTTTCTTCTTGTTATATACACAGGAGTGCAATTGCTAGATCATGTGGTAATTCTGTATTTAATTTTTTAAGGAACTGCCATACAGTGGCTGAGTCAGGTAACATTTCCACCAGTGATGCACACAGGCTTCAGTTTCTCAGTATCCTCACCACCATTTGTTTACTATTTCTCTGATAATAACCATCTAAGTATGTGTGAGGTAGTATCTTGCTATGATTTTGATTTACATTTTATTTTGATTAGTAATATTGGGGACCTTTTCATGTGCTCAGTGGTTATTTATAAATCTTTTTATGGAAAAATGTACACTTGAGTAATTTGCCCATTTTTTAAATTGAGTCTTTTTTGTTGTTATTCTGTCAGTAATGTTCTTTAATGTATAAAATTTTTATTGTGATGAAGTCCACTTTGTTTTTCCTTTTGTTACCTGTACTTTTGGTGTGTACTGTCATGAAGTTTGAATTTTTGTGTGTAGTGTAAGGTAAGAGTTCAGTTTAATTTTTTCGCACATGCATATTGTTTCCTCACACCACGTATTGAAAATATCACCCTTTCTTCTTTAGTGGTCTGGGTGCCTTTCTCGACTCCTTCACCACATGGGTGAGGGCTGATTTCTGGGCTCCTCATTCTTTTCTCTTGGTCTTGTGTGTCTGTTTGTATGCCACTACCACATTCTTTCGATAATTTCAGCTTCATAGTAGATTTTGAAATCAGGAAATGTGAGAACTACAGTTTTATTCCCATTATTCAACATTGTTTTGTAGATTTGGGGTCCCTTGAGATTTCATACAAATTTTAGGATGAACTTTTCCCTTTCCACTAAAAATGTTCATTCAGTTTTAGGTGTCATTCACATCAGAATAAACATGTCAGTTGGAGCTGTGCTGATTAGATACTACAATAAGCTGTAGGACCTCACTATTTGTAATAGTTTCTCAGAACCTTAAGAGGAGTCCTATATTTTCCTATAATTAAGGTTAAAAAGAGCAAGATAGTGAGAAAGAAGAAGGTAAGAAATCTAAAAAGGAGCCCAGTAGCACAGAAATTTGTTGAAACATGTAAAGTATAAACATTTCATTTTCCACAGAATTATCTTGAAACAAATTCTAAAGTTCTGTAGTTAATGATTGGACTTCATGTTTGAACTTACTAAACCTTAGACTGTAGAATTTGATGTATCTTTATAAAAATTAGTAAGTACAGTTTCTCAGATTTATTACATTTCTTATAAAGATATTTTTGTGCTACTGCTATGATTTTTTTTCTAGAATTGCACCTAGTTTTATAGCTCCATGTCATGAAAATACTCATTTGGGGTATGTTTTAGGTAGATAATATAGTAAGACTAGAACTTCGTAACATAAAGCCTGTTACCTTGTTTTTGTGTTACAGAGTCTCTACACAAAGAAGTGCAGGATTTGGCCTTTCTAGATGTTGTATCCAAACTTCGCAGTCATGAAAACAAAAGCGTTGCCCAACAGGCCTCTCTCACAGAGCAGAGACTGGCAGTGGAGAGCTGAGAACTGCCCTGCCCGGCACGCGGCGCTTCCCAGCTCTGCATCTCCCTCTGTCTTCCATCCGGCTGCCTCTCCACTCCATCTCTACCATATCAGTTGTGCATGCGTGTAACGCTCCAATACCAATTGAAGACTGCTGTAGGTACTTGCCTAGTAAGATTTCTAAACTCATAGTTAGTATGAACATGACTGTCCGACAGGTCTCTGCCCATAACTGTTCTCTTGTATTCCTGTTGCTTGAGCTACATTAAGTAGAATGTGCATGTTGTAGTCCTATGATGATGTAAACTTGATACTACATAATGACTTGCTCTTCACACATGGTAAACTACGTAATAATGTACTGGTAAATTAGAAACAGGATGTAGCAGGATCTGTGTAGCTTACTTAAAGATGAAGTTGAATAAGAAAATAGCTCCATTTTTGGTGCTTGGGAAGCACAGTGACCAAAATAACCATGGCTTCTCATACATTAGTCTTGCCTACTAATGTCCAGCCCATGGTACCTAGCATTAAATGAAATTGCACTCTTTACCCTGTGGTTCCTCCTTTTTCCTCATAATGTAAACTGTTGAAACTGCCACAAACTTAGCAAGACTTTATGAGGTTTGAGTCCATATTTAATTGATAGCCCAATATTGAAAACACTTGTAGTTTTCAGTGAGATTAGAGCTAAGGTGTTAAAGAATCCCTTTAACATTGTATCATTTGCCTATATTTTAGATTATAATATATGTGTAACTTCACCTCAGAACTTCTTCCATCTGTTGATCAGCATTGTCCAGCTCCTGTCTTTAAAAAGTCATTTGGTGTTTGTTTTCAACTGAGTATATAGCCCATTGGAAATGAACGTTTTTGTTTTGGTCATTCATATTGAAAGCAGGAAATTTCATCTTTCATAGTCTTTTTAAATACTACATTAGTAGGACATAGGAGGGAAGAGGAAGCTTGCCTATACTAAAGAAAGGGAGGCAGGTTATAAAGCCATAGTAGCGAGTCCTGTGCATTCTGCAGATAGCCTCATACCCATCACTGTTGGAGCTTCTCACCTACACTTTCTCCCCGAGAATGCGTGGATCTTACAGGCTAGAAGAAAGCCAAGATTTGGGGAGAGCCCCCTTGGCACAGTACTGCTCACTGCCACTGCCACCCCCAAATGGGTTTTTAGAGCTCTGCTACACAGTCTTTGTCAATTACTCAGATATCCCTAGGACCCCCTTGCGTTACCCAACACCCAGTTTGACCACTACTGGCCTCTCGGCGAGGGTGGGCCATTTTCCTGCAGGACTGGAGAGGGCAGGATGGGCTGCCAAGGAGGCATGGAGCCCTTCCTCTCCAGCATGAGCCCCCATGTCACGAGACGATCCAAGCTGGAGTTCTGACTCCGGAACTGCTATCATTGAAGACAGTGAAGGCTCAGTCTCAACTGTTTCCTTTGATGTCCAAGTGAGGGACTGTCGTGGGTGCTCATGGTACACTTACTGTGAGGGTGATGTTGTTTGTTGTCTTTCTTCGGGGCTGAATGGTAGAGTGTATTTTGTCAGGTTTTGAAAGACATCTGTAATGTTGCATAATAGACTGTCCATCTTAATAACTTAATAAATACATAGTATATCAAACTATAATGGCATCACTTGATTTATTGTTGTATTTCATCTGTATTTCCGCTCCTAGGACAGTGCATGATCATTGTTGGTGCTCTGTATGTGTTGAAAGAATGAATGAAATTTCCAGGTTGCCTGAACTAATTTCAGGTAGACTTAATTGATAACAGAATGAGACTTGAGAGCGTCTACGGCTTCAGGTATTTTCTTTCTTTTTTTAAAAATATTTTCCTAATAGTAGAGTCTATGCTTTTTAAAAAGCATTAAACAGATCTTTACAAAGTAATAGATCTGAAGAAAAGTCGTCATTGGGGCCAGCTGCCAGCAATCAGTTCATTGTTATGCCAGGAGGGCCTGTCTGCAATAAAACCAAGTGCAGTTTACGGGTAGGCCAGAGGGTGTGCCCTCGGTGCGCCAGGAGTCACCAGAGAGCTAGGGTGCCCCTGGGCATGGCAGTCAGTGGGAGAATACAGACACTGTCTGTCCTCTTCTCTCACCACTGCTACTGCTGCTTACTTCTGGCTCTAGAAGCCACTGCAAAACTGATTTGCTGCCCCTGATGAGTCCTTTGAAGGGAGAGAACAGGAGGAACAAGCAGCATAAAAGAGCCCTCCCTGTCCCTTGAGTCAGGAGGAAGATGCTGGAATGAAATGCATCAGTTCCACTGCCAACTTGGGATCTTGCTGACCATCCGCCCAGACTGTAACCTTGTGCGCTGAGAGATTGATCACACGTTGGCCCAGAATTCAGTGCTTTTCTCGGTCAAACATGTTTTGAGCATACTGTGATAAGAATGGCAATATGGAACAGGACTTCAGTTTTAAAGTGATTCACTCATGGATGAATAAATTGCAGCTTTGTATGCAAGCTTTATGTGAAGTGATCTGAAGAAGCCTGCATGTGAAGAATTTAAGAAGTGGTCCAGTATCATGATGTCCAGTGTGTGTGGTAGGACATTTACTTAGGTGAGCATTACCTTTTCAGCCTTTACCAGAATCATTAAGCTTAGGATTCGCTCAACTCTAGGGAACCGTAACATTCGAGTTAGTAGAGAAGTACCTGTTGAAAAGCACTTCATGATTGGGATAAATGAGCTGTAGCTAGGAAGGCAAAGGCATTTCTCACACTAAGCGTGCTCTCTTCACGTGCCTGCCTGGGTGCTGTGCCGCTCCCCAAGTGTGTCCCGAAGTTGTACCCCTGTAGTGTGGCAGCGCTACTGGAAAAGTGCAGTGCGGAGGAAGAGTGGTCTCTGGCGCCATGGCAGTGGCCAGCCCGTTCTGTCACTGCTTCCTCTGGCTTTCCTCAGGATGGTGAGCTCAGGAGTCGCTACTTTCCAGGATTTTTGTGACAAAACTTTCAGAGGTTTAAGATAAGGTTGAATAAAATTGCGGTATTTTACAGCCTCAACTACGCCTTCCTATCCCATCTGCCAGACTCCTACCTTGAATAATTCAAAGGGCAACCACCTAGCTGGACACGCGCCTCAGTGGGCTGAGGCCCCGATGCTGCTCAGAGCGGAGCGCGTCCCCCGTTGCTGACCTGGAGAACGGGACGCCCTGCCCCTCCTCGCCGAGTGCCGCCCGCAGACCAGGCTGAGCGGCCCGGAGCCCGCACAGCCCAGGCCGCGTCTCCTCGTTCGCAGGCGCGAGGGGCGCCACGGGGTGAGCCCCAGGCCGAGGGCGCCGTACCCGCCATCTGCGGGCAGGTGCAGGTGCTGGTGTGGCGAGTACTGCGAGTCCTTTACTCAACCCGGGCCCCGTCTTTCCTACCGATGGCCGCAGCGCTGCGCGGGGCAGGGCCCCCCACAGCTGCCGACTCCCCGCCCCGAGCCCACGCTCCGGTCGCGGAGGTCCGG